TTAGTTTTTGTTATGGTCTCAACTCTAGATTGGCTTGAGGAGCAAGCATGGATCATTGTCCTAATGTGGTCCTGGGCTGGACGGCAGACCTGTCCAGGGTGTACCTTGTTTCTTTCCCTTTGACTACTGGAAAAAAAATCCCTGTGTTCTGCACAGTCAGCACAACCAAACACACGATTTTGCTTTTTTAGCTACACTGAGTTTTTGCAAACACTTCTAGGTACATGCCTCAGTCTCTATATATCAAGGATGTTACGTAGGAACAGAATAAGCCAAAGCAGCTTTTTTTGTAAATGCAAAGTTTGTTGTCCACGTCCAACAAAATGCAGCATAACAAGAATGCTGGTAGTTCTATCATGCTGTGGGCCTGCACTATTCTTTCTGATGGAGAAAAAAAATGACTGAATGTAATTTAATATGCAAATCCAAGTGCAACGGTTGTATAAAATACTAATTTGCAATTTGTCACTCTTCCCTTGTTTATTTGTTATGCAATAAGGCCTGGTCTCAGAAAATTAATACATCTGAGCAAAAGTTCTGCAGCATGACACCAGCAGAGCTAATAGCATGCCCTCTCCCACACTTCTGCTGGGATTGTGGAGATATGACATCACTACAACATGACTGGATAGTTCCAATGTTGGTTTTGGGCCAACACAATCTTGGTGGTCCAGAACTGAAACCAGTGCAGCAGTTAGGGGATTTTGTGTATTTAGAAAGTAAGTTAGAAAGCTGTGGCTAATGCACCACAAACTCTCATTTCACTCTCCCAATAAAGCCTCAGTGTAAAACTTAACCTTTTAGATTTATGTGGTCTAGAAGAGTCTACCATGCTCGTTTAAAATCACTAACACCAAACACTTGTTGTTTATAGGCTGGGGCCTTGGATTTAACAAGCAACACGTTTTATGGTTTTTCATTTTTGATCCATAAAAATAGACGACAGACGTAAACAGAAAACATGGAAATCAAAAATCAGATTTTAAATTCCAGTTGGCAAATAGAGGCGATTCACGGCCGCCATGAAGAGGCACTTAGCAAAATTGACTGATTATCAATTACAGTGTGATTTCTAACAACATGGACTCAGATTTATGGGTTCAAAGGCTTCATTCATTCTCTGTTAAGTCATATGGAACAGCTTATTTTGTTTTCCCTGGGAATGCTTTTGAGAAGATTGCATCTCCATAATCAATAAAAAAAAGAACTTAATCATTCATTTCAGAGCACAAGGAAGAAGAAAAACATCTGGGAAAATAAACCTTCCCCATAAGATATGCTGACAATAACACATGAGGTGCAATCATGGATGATGCCTGCAATTTTCAGCCAGATGTATGAGTTGAGACCATTTCCATTATTTATAATGGCACCGTTAATATGGTGTCTAAAGCCCTTCCTTGAGGATTTAAAAACAAAACTCACATGATTCTGTTTGTTGTTGTTTTGACAATTGATCACATGATAATCCTGACATCTCCCGCAGACACAGAACCAACTGCCTGGAAGAGCTAGGTGGCTGCTTCTGGACTCATGGATCTCATCAACCGCTGACCTGGAAGTATCTGCAACATCACATCAACCAGCACACAACATGCTTCTTTGAAGTGGAAACGGGCCCAAACTGGATTATTCAGCATCTCTGAAGATCAACTCCCATATATTTGATTACACTCTCCCTCCCCACACAGCACCTCCCCAGCGAAGGATACACATGATGCTGTTCCCAGTTCAGAGTCTGGTACCCTTTGTCTCACTACGTGCCCATCTGCCAGCCATTTACCTGATTGCTTCAGGAAAGCTCCGACAGGTCTGGCTCTGCCAGGGCAGCTGGGAAGCCACAAACCTGCATAGGTTTTATCCCGGTGGACGCAGCAAAGATAAGCTGCAGATGACCCTTCAGAAACAGAAAAATATGATGATACCATACAGTGTTGCTTCATTAGGAAAGCTGCAATAGCTTGAACATAATTGTCAGTGTACAGAAGGACACACAGAAGACAAGCTGTGCTTATTTTCTGCACACAGAAACAACTGCAGTTTAAAGATCCAGGCACAGACCTAAAACCCCTCCACACAAGCATGGCACACAGACTATTTTTGAGGCAAATCACATCCAGTCCTGCTTTAACGTGGGCTCATTATGGTGGAAGTGGGTTCCAGGGCCAGGAAGTTTCATTGCTTTCCAAATAAATCTGGCTAAATACAGCAACGGTCCAAATTCCTTCACTTCTGCAGTTCTTTCCAAGTCTTCACATTTCACAAAAGCCTGCAAAAGCCAGCCATAAATATAACCCTCTTATCCAACAAGGGCTCTTTGCTCACTCATTAATTGGAACAAGTGTGTTAAGTGGCGCCGTCACTTTAAAAAGATAGAACAATGGTCATTTTGCACATAAAGGGGTAAACCAGCACACAAATTCAAACCAGCTTGAGAAAAATGATCAATGACGAAGGAGGCCTCTCAACATTTACCAAGTGACACAGAGGGTTTTCATTACCTCACTGCTCACAAATGTAAAACATCAACTTTGATCGTGTTTTACAGAATATGGCAGCGAGACTGTGGGCAGGCCTGATGGTCAGTACAGCAGTCAAGCCATGATATCCAGTTCACTTCAAATACTTTGGACTAACTTTTAGTTTTCTTTTTTTTATTTAGAAAACTGACTTAAAAAGGTAAAACTGCACATCAGCTGTGTGGAACAAAAATCAACTTGTCACTGAGCATAAACAGCTCCCCTCTGGAAAAAAAAATCCCTCCGAGCTGAAAGACCCCACCCTAGCCCATCTACACCCCCTAACAACGCCATCTCCTTGTGTTGTGTGGCGTCAGCTGCAATGAGCTCCAGATGGGGGCCAGGCACCCCTCCAGTCACGGCATGGATGTGGTTTGATGGTAGTTGGGAAACACCACCCACCAGCGGACCCAATGAAAGTTCCTCAGACTGCAGCCAGGGGTTTTTCTGCCGTGGGTTCAGATTCACGTGGGCTTCAGGGACAGGAGAGCAGTAATGCTCTGAAGGGCTGTGGGGAACGAGGTATCTGCTTGCTTCCTGCATGTGTTGCATATTTAACACGCTATGAATAAATACACCAGGAAATAGGTCTATTTCTATCGGGCTAGGGAAAGAAACGTTTTTTTTTGTGGCATTTGCATCTGAACACAAGATATTTCTAGTAATCTTGACTGCTTTGATGATTTGAGGAATGAATCCTTTCAGAGAGTTCCAGGATAAAAGAAACTGACGTTTGAAGAAAGCTCCTTATCAAATATTCTATTATTAGTTGCAAAACATGAAAATTAAAGACCTGTCATCTCTTAAAGGCATAACCTCTTACTGCAGTGTTTTCATTAAGATCATTGTGATGAGGAATGGAATTAGACACTTTGATGAACCCTGAGGGTGATATTACAGTTTTTACCATAAAACTGAGTTCAATGTTTGTAAAATCTGAGGAGTTATAATAAAATGTGTTTTTAATGTCAACGTTTTATTTGGTCATCTTGAATTGGATGGACTCCAAAGTTAATAAGTTATAGAAAAACATCTAATGGTCACTTAAATAATAAAAACAATAACTCCAGTTGTGTGAGATATTAACCTGACAAAAACACATGCATAGGCAAAACTTTATGACCCACCTTCAGATGTATGATGGAGGGAAAATTAAAAAAAAAAGACCATTAACATGAACAAAATGTTCAGTTTAGGGTTCTGTGTGCTGAGGAGTGACCCCTCTGGTGGTTTTCACACACCCCAGGTTTCAAAAAGGTTTTATTTTCTTACAGCAACAGCGCCCCCTACTGCCAGA